TCAGTTTGCTGGCTAGCAGGTCAGCCAGCACCAACTCATGTCAGATGAGGATTATGAGATCCAACAAGCGGATGCTCTCCGCACAGAGTTGCAGCACCAGCTGCCGAAAGTGGAGGGAAGGAGAGCGAAAGCTAGGATTAGAAAAGCTAGACTAGAGGCAAGAGGAGATGAGTTAGGCAAATTAGAAGCTATAGATGAATCAGTTCTTGACTCTGTAACGCTGTCCCTTCAGAACTCCCTGTTGAGTGTAGCCGAAGTGCAAGCAGTGCAGCAAGAGATGTTGGCTGCACTGATAGATGGTCAGAACCAGATTCTGACCGCACTGCGGGCGCCACGACCTCCGGTCAGGCAACCACAGTTTGATGTAGCTCCGCCTACAGTTGCAGGTCGAATAATGACGCTGCCACCAGTAGGGCAACCATTTTCTCCACCGTTTGGCATACCCCAATCAGGCGGATTAGCAGTCGGTAGTGGTGGGCACATTCTGGTACCTTCTTCACTTCCACCATCATCGACTATTGCTACAGGACAGCGTCATGTACAGCAGCCTGTGCAACAGTTACCCCTGCAAGAGCAAGTGCTGCAGCAGCACACTGGTCCACTGGTTTCACAACCAATGCAGCAGGCACACGGTGCTATACAACCCATGCAATGGACCGCTAAGATACCCTTGCTGAGTCTTGAACCGTTCTCTGGCGACAAGTAGAAGGAAGAGGACCTGGATACCTGGGTGAGGACTGTGCCCACGTACGTGAGCCATAAGCTCACAAGGACTGAGGAAGAAGTTATAGTCGCTGCATCCTTTTTAAAAGGATCTGCAGCCAGATGGCCGAACAAAATAGTACAATAACAAGGATACGGTCAAAATTTCGATGGCTGGACACAGGCTTGGACGTTGGAGTTTGTACGGATGGTCTATAATGGGTGGCATGACCCCCAAGGGGCTAAAAAGGCCATTGATCCGCCAGCTAGTCTAGGATCAAAAAGATACCGGACAATTTGAGAGGTTACAAACGCCATAGAGCGACTGATTGTTGTTCCTGGTGTGTGGTACGATCCACAGGTCCTCACAACTTATTTCTGATGTCTGCCCACAGATGTCAAAAATAAATTTGTCGATGAGGCCTCCATAGATGTACATCACTTCGCCTCGTTCAACAAGAAGGCCTTAAACATAGAGGCTAAGCTTGGGAGTGCCTAGCAGGGGACCGACAGATGGAAGGAAGAAGAAGCTTTCTCAGGACAGGAGAAAGAAGGGCAACCTTATATTCGTTGACCACGATGGCCAAGTGACTGAGATCGACGGCTTTTTGGACCTTGGGAAGAGACAGAGGTAGATGGGAGTGTTGACACTCTAGATAGTGGAGTAGTCGCTCCTGTCAGGGAAAAAGCTAAGGGCGCCGAAAAACAAAAGGCAGGCCAGCCCAAGGGTCAATATGACCAAGGAGCACCCATATGGGTAAAGATTGGCCTAGAGTACGAGGTGTGGCGAGACCATGTTGCTGGAGGTGCTTGCCTAAATTGTGGCCAGTATGGGCACATAATGGCCAAGTGCAAGAGTAAGTAGGTCGGTACAAAGGTTGCATCCTCAATAGTGACGGTGAGAGCTTCCAACTCTGGTGGTGCTTCAGCGAGCACTTCGCAGGGAAACACCTCGGGCCAGTAGGAGTGTTAGCCGCTCTTCCCCGTGCTGAAGTGGTAACCTTACCTTCTCCATTTCAGACGATGGCCAAGTCTATTGACCCATTGATCGCCCTCAGACAGATCTAGACCAATCGATGCTATGAGAGACACCTGTGACGCCATCACTCCAGCTTCGTTTTCAGCACGTCCGTACCTGCATCAAGGCGCCACCTTTCACAGGTCAGTACATAGTACAGAGAGGGAGAGAGATACCTTCCTCTTCCTCCTCCAGTCCACCACCTTCTTCTTTCCCCTCCAGCACTTTGACTTCCTCTTATCAGATTGTGTGTGTGTGTGTGTGTGTGTGTGTGTGTGTGAGAGAGAGAGAGAAAGGGATTGGCGACCGTGGGATTTAGACTCGACATTGGACAGAGACGTTGTGGGGGACTATGTGGGATTGATATCAGCGACATTTGCGTTGACGACATTTCCATCTCCTCCCCCCTCTTCTTCGTCTCTTACCCCTCCTCCTCATCTGTGTATGAGCTGTGCCTGGCGCCTTCATCCTTGTGTGTGGCGCCAGGTCATTCACACCGAGTGATGATGATGATGTATGTCCAGTCTGCATTTCAACATTGATTGGGTCTGATCATTGGTATTCCAGTCTTCCGATGTGCTATCCTGCTCTATCTATGAGAGGTCGGTTCTTGGTTCTGGTCTGTACCATCTCGGTATGCGACCGTTTGGTATCGGAGCAGACCTCTCGAAAGAGGATCTGCCCAATCAAGGAACCAACTTGATTGACTGATCGATTAAGTAGGGACTCGTCAAATTTCTGCAAAAAAAAATAAAAATACTGAAGTTGTCACCTTGATTAGCGCTACCTTGAATTTGCGCTAATCACGAATTAGCACTAATCAGTGATTAACATTCGCTAAACGAACCCTAATCAAGCTTAACAACTAGTTAACGAATTCAAGTTTTGCAAATTCTCTTTTTCTTTTTTGTTGTTGTAAGTTACTAATTCCCAAGTTCGAACTTTCGGCATTTTTCAGATCCACGAATTTCAAAAATTTCAGTTCCGCGCATTTCGAAATCCCGAAAAATCCGGCATTCCGTGAAATCCACGAATTCCGCGAATTCCGCAAATTTCGGTCTTCCGTGACATCCGCGAATTTCACGAATTCCGCGGAAATACGAAAGTAGCAATTAAGGATTCAAACAATTTCGGTTTTTGCACCAGAATTAGGTCTTTCTTAAACCACCAGTACCCCGCCCAGGCAAAAAAAATTGCCTTCCTGAATTCATGGAAGACATGGGCAGGGTCGGTAGAGGCTAGGTAGAGCATCGGAAGAGGTAAGAGGGTCGTCCGTTTTGAAAACGGGAAGGAACGACCAGAGAAGACAAAACAAAAAAAATAAATAATAAAAAAAAAAACAGTTTCCAAAGATAACGGACTCAGCCCTGCCAGCAAGGCAGGGCTTATTCCACGCTCTCAGCTAAGTCTTTGGGCCTCGCTGCACTACTTTCGACGTGCACAAAAGACAAAAATATTGGCCGTGTATCTTTCCATATTCTACCGGAAGATTCACTCTCGTTTTCTACATTTCGAGATTAGTGCAGGGACGCCCTTTGTTCCATTTTTCCTTTTTTCTTTCTTTGTCCATGCAGCACCGAGCTACTTCCAGATGTCGGGGGAGCCTTGACTGACGGGATACTCACACTGGTACTGTACAGGATGTATCTGTCCGTTATCACGCGCAAATCATTGTTTTTTTTTTCTTTTTTTTGCTGTATTGTAGTGCCCTGCCAGCAAAGCAGGGCGATTTCCACGTTCTCGGCCAAATCTCTGTTCCCTTTTTCTTTTTTCTTTTGTTTTTTTCCTCGTATGTGTCCATGTAGCACCGAGCTACTTCCAGATTTCGGGGAAGCCCTGACTKAG